CAGTCATAAAAATTGTTATATATCTTAGCCTAGCTATTTTAAACTGTTTGATCACATTCTAGGGTTATTATTATGCATAAAAAACCTTATGCAACATTGATAGGAACACGGAGATAAAAAAACAAAAAAATTCAACCATCAACGCATTTCAAAATTTTTACTTTTTTGTAAAATATAACATCAAATTTTTATATTAGTGCTACCAGTATTACAACATCAATATTGTAAATTTTTTGTAACATTTGAATTTTTTATTTAGTGCAATATTTTGTCATTGCAGCATTTTAGTGTAATTTTCACTAGCAGCTGAAATTGGATTTATATTGTAAACCTAAGTTCACTGTTATCCCACCGGCACTATTGTGACCATCAACATGTTTACTCATTCTATGACTACACTCAACAAAACTGAATATATGTGAATTCATATATTAATACTAGACACCTTAAAGATAATGTGTACCAAAAATCTTTGTCATATCTTTATGTTAACATACTTTACTAGCCTTTTGTTTTGGAGCTTTGATGCAGTTATCATCTTCTCAAGGTGCAAACAGGAAATAAACTGCTCTGGTCATGTGACGATTTGCACTAATCATGTGAAACTGCACATATTTCATTGAGAGCCTTTATTTTTTTCATATTTGCAGGAAGTGCACTAAAACATCAGTCAGTAAGGTTTTTAGAGCTTTGTAAATGAAAACCTTTTTTACGGTCACTATTGTGACCGGTGGGATTAGGGGTTAACTATACAATAAATACCGTTTGCTATAACTTTTAAGCACCAAGCGATATTGTATATGTGCACATATAATGTAATGAAACCACTATCTATGACTTTACTAGATGCATTAAACGGAACGTGAACAAGCCATTTAGCGCACCCATCTCACATTATTATAACTTACTATTTAAATAAGTAAACGTGCTGGTATCACTGAACGCAAAAGGCACCACAGCGCCACCTGGTGTCATTAAAGTGCATGTAATATAAGCAGAGGAATTTCCCAGAAACCATTGCGCTGAAACAGTATAAAAAGCAAAGCGACGCGTTCATTCGGTCTCATTCTGCGGCGGCGCGTCAAGGGTAGAGTAGGTAATTCATTTAATCGTTTTATTACAATAATTTTATGTAATGTGGGGTTTTCTATAATATCTGTGTTTGTTGTGTAGAAGTTAAGTTTTATTGTTTGTTTTAAATTCGATTCTGCAAGAAAGGGAGTTGATAATTCGAAGTGCTGTTCCACGTGTTACAGGCCGCGAATGAGAGTTAAAGTACTTTTTGTTTTTAAACTGGCTTTTCAAATATGCTTAAAGTAAGTTAAGTGAAGGATTTGAATAGTACTTTCACAGAAAAACTAATTTATTTAACGCTTAATTAAATTCTTCCACGTGGTATGAAAGTGCGTTGTAGCGAGTCATTACCTCATGTTAACATGCGTGATGATACATGATGTTGGTAGGGACATCTGAGAATACTTGATGAGTACCAACATCTCTGACATGCATAACTACGCTCTCTGTGCAGTCTTATGCTGTCTGTTACGTGCAAAGCTTTTAAGGTTTCTTTTTTCCCCCCCTCTATCTCCAGGTCCAGTATCCTGAGGACTGATAAACGCGGGAGACAGCTGGTATGTACTTCTATCAATCTATCATCTGTCTATCTATGATGGTTGCGTTGCTTATGATGACTAAATATGTATAAGAGTAGTGGACAGGAGTGATTTCTGAGAACCCATTTTCTGAGGCATTTTCTGAGGGTTTCATTTTAAACTACAGTTGTTGGCTTTTTAAAAAAATTTTTTTTAATGTTTGCAGGATTGTGTTGTGACTCTGGAAAGCGGTGTCAAAGGTATATATTGTTTTATACCTGCTGTGCTTTAAAGGGGTCATATGATGCTGCTAAAAAGAACATAACAAAGTAGTTTCGCTTTCACAACAAAACACACAGCGTCTCCACAACATGGCCGCGGTGGCAACAGCGAGAATAAAAGTTTTCTTTCTTTGCGTGAACATTTGGGCGGTGTTATGCAAATCTTCCCACATCGTGACGTAGATATGTGGGGGCGTGTTCGAACGAGCCGTTTTAGGTAGGTGTGGCTAACTCTTTACTTTTATAAAGAATATCTCTTTGGATTTGAGACTTTAGTCTTTGCAACTTTACAGATCTTCTTTATGCACCAAGAGCTTGTAACACTCCAAAGAGAAAGGAAAAATTTAAATCGCATCATATGACCCCTCTAATATAAGTGTGTATGATGACCCTATTTGCTACTCTTGAGTTTACTCTGATGAAACTGCAACCACCAAGATAACTTGTCTGAAGCACAGCATTTGAATACAAGTGTGTTGCATGTGTGACCTTTGTTTAATATTTAACCTTTTTGATTCATAGGAACATGTGCAGTTGAATTGAAAGGTAAGCATTTTAAAGTACTTCTGAAGTGCCTCCTAAGCTGCGGTCATTCACTGTTCATGATGATGGTTTTATAAAACAATGGGAATCTCTCTGAATTAGACTGAAAGACATCTGTGTACTGAAACAGTGCTTGTTTAAGACTTTATCCTCTCTGTCTCTGTTCTGTACTAACAGCATTTTATTACAGGTTGTTTAAGATGTTTGCACAAGAGAGATGAAGATGCCATCAGCTGAGCACGGTATTAATTTAGCATTTTTAATACTTTACTTTCTGTGATGTAAATGATGACTGCATAGTTCAGCAGAAAATCCATGAAGAACACTAAGCATAGTCTTTCGCTCCTAGCTGATGCATCACTGGGGTTCTATTTCGGTGTTTTAGTAGTTGCTTTGTCTTACTCTTGCTTCTCTCTCTGCAGGTTGACTTCTGCAGGGGCGCAAGCATGTCTGGTGAGTTTGAGATTTTGAAATTGCTATATCCAAGTTAAAATGCAAATGATGACTGCATAGTTCAGCAGAAATCCATGAAGAACACCAAGCATAGTCTTTCGTTCCTAGATGATGCGTCACTGGGGTTCTATTTCTGTGTTTTAGTAGTTTTGTCTTAAGTCTTGTTTCTCTTTGCAGCAGGAGTTCAACTGGGGAGCTAGCATGTCTGGCTATGGGAGAATCCGCAGCTGTCTGACTGTTCAGGGTAAGTCAGTTGAAAGGACTTGTTACTGGTACTACAGTGGTCTCAAACTGATGAGTTCGAATCAGGTCTCTGATCTTTTTGAGGACACGTTAAAACATTCTGATTTAAGACCACGTAGTTGTGCATTTAACTTTATAAATAAGAACGTTGAGTTTAATTGTCCTTTTGTGTCTTTTTAGGCCTGGTGACCAGCATGATGTGCTGATCAGTCACTGTAAGCATTTACTCCTTTTTGTAGTTGTAAATCTGTAGCTCTGACCATTGTGATGAATCTGATATCCACTGGCTTTGCCATGGAGGATGAATATTAGCTCTGGCTGATCTGGTCACGTTAAAATTCTGTTTTTCATGGCTGTTTGTTCTAACAGGCGTCTGCTCATTGACTGGTATGGTGGTGACCCCTGTGTCGTGCCATGGGAGTATGGCGTGTTTTTTTTTTAATTTTATTTTTTTAAATCTAAAGGTTGGTTTTGTTTGCAGACAGTCCCAATATCTTTCATAGTTGGGTTTTTGTGATGCCTCAAATGTCTGACCTGAACACACAATGTGGACAGTCTTTGACTGAAACCCAGGTGCTGGTTTGGACAACATGTTGGCTGTGACCAACTAACCAATGGTGGTCTCTCTCTTTAGGGTGCTCAAGATCGTCCAGGATGGCTTGGAAACTATCATTGTATATGGTATGGTTATGACACGTTCTCTTTCAGTGTTTCTTGCAACCTGTGATGACATGATTCTGCCAAATGAATCTGCTGATTATATCCTTATACCGTTCTTTATATCTGAGGTTGACTTTGACTCTACTTTAACCTTGATGTTTGCACTTGTGCTCTTTTAAAATCTCTCCTTGTTTCTTGCAGAATGACTCTTCTGAACGTGTTCCAGGGCTTCAATTCTTCTACCTCTATGATTTTTGTGGTCTCTTCGACGCAATTAAAATGACATTTCAAATCTGTTATCTACATCTGTTGCAACTATTAAAGTTTGTAAAATCTCTTCAATAAAGTGGTGAAATCAAAGTTCCGTCTCAAGTTTCTAAAGTGCTTGTATGAGTGCGTGTGGGTTGATTCTTCTATCACTGACCATTTAAACAGAACTTTCAAGCATTTTGGTAGCATGCAGTTTGACTTAACTTGTTTTACACTTAATGTTGAGTGCTGACTTGCTACACCTAAGCTATGAAAGCTAGTTTCTTACACATTATTTGCAGCTCAAAACGGAGTGAATTCTGTCGTGATGGCACGTGTAAGTTGATTGATTTACGCTCGTCTCGTGGCTCATTTCCATGCAGGTTTACTGAAGCCTAATTCTATGTCGGAAATGGGGTTTCATATTAACGGTCACGTTCTCAGTTTTTGGAATGGCAGCAACATTTACTCTGTCGCTAACAGGTTCTACAGAAGCGGCGATACCTGATATGCAAGTTAGCCCAGCAATCTTAATATATCAAACCTCACATCACGTTCTCAAACTACTGCGATTGGTCCAGTCTGCTCAGCGCTGAGAAAATTTAGCTATTGCTACGTGACCAGGTCTGCTACTTCATGAGGTTAAACCTGAGAAATGACACGGATTTTTTAAATATTTGAATTTGTATAGTTTGTTTATAATAGCCACTGGCTTGATAAAAGAATCGCAGAGTCTTTTCTTACAACACCAAGCCCCGCCCACTTTGTACCCTGTTCCAGTGAAGATTGTGACGTCGTGTTTCAGTTCTGAGCGTTGAGCGCAGATGCGTCCTGCAGTCAGTGAGGCTCGGCTGCGTGTATGAATGGACGCTACAATTACATCTAATAGCTCAATGTTATAGTCTTTGCGAGAGCTATATTTCTGTCGGCACCGATGTTTTCTCTCGTAATCTTGCTCTCATTCCTGGCTATTTCGGCTGATGCGGATTTTTTTCAATTCGATAGCATTTCAAATGTTTCTTCCTATTATTTCAATTACATCTATTGCAATATTTGGGAAGGGGACTGTCAACCACACCAGGATGATGCAACCCAACAAGGTAAAGATATAATATAGCTATATATAATAAAGGTATATTTTAATATATACTATGGTAAAATGTTTATATAAATATACAAAGCATATATATATATATATAATTTACATAATTTAAGATGGATTGAATAACCAACGTGTAATGCGTTTTTTTTTTCTGCTAATTGTTTTTCATGGATGCGTTTAGAAATTTTCTAACAATACTGAGCAGAATAATGTATTATGTAAATATAATGTATGAATATATTCAATAGATATGGATAATAATAAAATGCATTTTAAGTTGATTTGGATCAACTTTTCCCAGTGTCTCTTTAAAGAGTGGCAGTATTTGTACTGATTGTAATTTAACTCACTGCGGGCTTATGTAACACTCTTCTCTTCTCAGTGGCTGCTGGGGACATTTGGTCAGGGTTTCCCCAGTACTACACTGGCATGCTGACTGCATGGTACTGCAGCCTGGGTCAATGCTGTGATTCAGGAGACTGTAGAATTACAAATAACATCACAGGTGGAGATATCAACATCATGCATGCATTATTTTATACAAATATTCAGGTTTTTACAATTGTTGAAATGATAGAAATATCAGAAAGTTCAAACAAAAAATCTTGGGAAAGTCTGAACATTTATTGAAATGAATTTCTCTTATCAATGCATATTTCAGGATTGGAAAAAGATCTACAGGTGAAGCTTCATGGGCAGCACCTGGTCCAGTCTGTGGTTCTGAAAGCCATTCAGGGATTCATCAAAAACCCCGAGTCCAACAAACCACTGACTCTGTCCTTTCACGGCTGGTCTGGGACAGGCAAGAACTTTGTGGCCCGGATAGTAGCGGACAACCTCTACCAGGATGGTATAAAGAGTGAATGTGTGCGTTTGTTCATTGCCCCATTCCACTTCCCTCACGCGAGATTGGTGGACGTGTACAAGGTGAGCAAAGGTTCAACATTTGACATCCACACAGCTGCCCAGGTCATTTGATCTGATTCAGCAGTCGTCTGTTGATTTAGTTTACCTTTTACAAACAAATGAGTAGTATTTGGTTACATTATAATGTTACACATGAGTAAAATATTTGCTACTTGTACTATAATTCATCTGCTTGGATATATTTAACTTGAAAAAACTAAATGCAACGCATTTCACATAGGCAGGGGTCCAATACAATCACTTTTTTTGGACTTCTGGGGAACATTTATTGGATCACTGCCATGAGATGTCAAAGCTGTGGTACAATTGTATGATTATGCAATTCAACCTTGATATACTTGGATAGTTCAGTTAGAAAACCTGATTCAGTTGATTGCGCTCCAAATTCTGAAATATTCACGTACGTGTTAGTGAATCCTGAACCTTGCTTGTGCTTGTATTTGTGTGGGTGTGTTTGCAACCAGGGCCAGCTAAGAGAAGCCATTCGAGACATGGTTCTGCGATGCCCACAGACACTCTTTATCTTTGATGAGGCAGAAAAGCTTCACCCGGGACTCATTGATGCCATAAAGCCCTACATGGACCACTATGATAATGTGGATGGGGTCAGCTATAGAAGAGCCATATTTCTGTTCCTAAGGTTGGTGTGTTCTTTACAGATGCAAAATCTGAAAAATGTAATTTGTTGCTATGATCCAATTAAAAAACTAATGTCTGTTTCCTTAATGTCATGCTTTAGCAATATCGGTGGTGGTGCCATCAATGAGGTGGCACTTGATTTCTGGCACTCGGGACAGAATAGGGAAGATATCGGCATGGAAGACTTGGAACATCTTCTGCGTGCTGAAGCCATGGAAGCAGAAGGTACCTGCAGTCAAGTACATCATAACAGAACTAATAAATCTAATTGCTAAACATCTGACAAATATCTCATAGATGTTGCGTATTTAAATTCTAATTTAAATAGCTAAATTACTTTTTACCTTTGCAGGAGGTTTTGCGCAGAGTGAGCTGATTTCAGGCCATCTGATTGACTTCTTTGTACCATTCTTGCCGCTGGAGTACCGGCATGTGAAACTGTGTGCACATGATGCATATGCAGCTCGTGACCTTCAGCCGGATGAGGGGACTCTGGATGAAGTGGCTAAAGCCATGCTGTACGTTCCTAAGGAGGAGAAACTCTTCTCTGCACAGGGCTGCAAATCCATTCCTCAAAGGATCAATTTCTTTTTGCCATAACGGAGAGCAACATAAGATCACTGACATTAAAGAAACACAGAGTATACTTGAATGAAGCAGAAATGACTGCTGATATCTGAAATGCAAATTATACAACGCTGACAATGCAGAAAAAAACGTAATATGTAGAGTTTCAACTCTATATAGGACAGGGAGAGAGGGGTTTGCTCATGGTAAACCCTACTGAAATGATATTTTTGAGAACTTTTTATCTGTATCTATCTTATCTACTTCTCCCAAGCCATGTTACAGTTTACATGCATTGATATGAACTTAAGCAACCTAACCTCTTTAAAAAAAAGACTGCATTTACAGTAATGCACTTACACTGGAAGCCTCTTAAGCAAGCAAAACCAGTGTTTGAAATTTTTTTTTTTACATTTACAGTTAAATGGAAATTGCTGTTTGCAACCTTTTTGTACTTCCATACTATGTATTTCTGAGCAAAACAGGATATTCAATAGAAAAATTAATTGATTGGATCTGCTAGGCTTTTCCTGTAAGTATATTGTTGTCAAATGCGTTTTAAAAGACCATTTTAAATGTTTTTCTGTGGTAATCGACTGAATGTAAGTTTTCTTTAACCTGGAATATTTCTTTTAGTTGCTGTTATATATTTTTGGCATATTTCAGTCATCATTATCTGCATTAAAGATCATATTTCAAGACTTATGTTACAATTTAAAAAAAAATCTTGTTTATTTATTTTATATCTTTTTGTCATGTATATTACAGTTAAATGGAAATTGCTGTTTGCAACCTTTTTGTACTTCCATACTATGTATTTCTGAGCAAAACAGGATATTCAATAGAAAAATTAATTGATTGGATCTGCTAGGCTTTTCCTGTAAGTATATTGTTGTCAAATGCGTTTTAAAAGACCATTTTAAATGTTTTTCTGTGGTAATCGACTGAATGTAAGTTTTCTTTAACCTGGAATATTTCTTTTAGTTGCTGTTTTATATTTTTGGCATATTTCAGTCATCATTATCTGCATTAAAGATTATATTTCAAGACTTATGTTACAATTTAAAAAAAAATCTTGTTTATTTATTGTATATCTTTTTGTCATGTATATTTAAATGTTACAACCTCTTCAAAACTAGTTAAAATCATATGTGCTTTTTGTTCATTGATATTTCCATTTTGAACACATTCTGATATGAAAATGTGGAAGTGATTCAGTTGTTGGTGAAGATATGCTACTGAAATGATCATTTTTTATGTAGGTAGAAAAAGAGCTAGAGGGTTAAGCTTGACAAACATGAGATTGAAGGAATCATTACTTTATAACTGAGACTTGATGTAACACTTTCACATAGGCCAGTACGCATTTTTCTGTAGTTTGCCAATTTATCAAATTAACCTGATTTTATTCACTGTACTGTTTTCAACTAGTAACATGCATCTTTGGCAAATTCATTGCTAAAAGTAACAAGCTTTTTGATTTTTAAGTGTCAGCTCTGATAATGTTTACTGAAAGAACTATTTTCAAGTTGTGCTTGAATGTAACTACAGGTTAGTGTTTGATGGATGAACCATGTCACCAGCTAAAATTCTAAACTTTTGTAAGGGTTTTGTCTACAAATAATGTCAGACAAGTGATGCCAAACAGGGTGGGATTTTTGTCAACAGCTTTTTAAAAATGAAGTTACTTTACTAAACATTCAGTCTTCTGCTTAGGGTTTGGCTTAGTGCAGTTTGTTATTATTAGTTGAGCAAGCTTAAATTCTGCATTTCCTTTTCCCATTGATAACACAGAAACCGGTGGGAAATGGCATTGTTACTGATATTTGTCTAATGTAAAAGAGAAATAAAAGATAATGTGCCAAGCTCTCAAAACTCTTGACTTGGTATCTCTATATACATTTTTGCAAACCACTAAACCACATGCTTGGTTTAATAAAATGCAGTGGAAATAAAAACCAATTCCATTAACAAGATCTTGTTTTTGAACAACTTTACAACTAAAATATCAGTGAAAAGCAGATATCATGTTCATGTGAGCACGAGCTTACATGCCAACTCGTGAAAAAATATTCCTTCGAATCTGGTCGGTTCTTTTTAAAGAACGTGCTGAACCTGTTTCACAAGCTGATCTGAATGAATTATTAACGAATAGAAACGAACAATTCGTTCGCTAATCGAGTGGAAGCAGTTTTCGACTCAAAAATGCACTCGTCGAACCAAACGCATCTTCAAATTTCAGAAATATTAAATAAAACTGTTGGAAATACATTCACAACTTGATTGCACGACCATTTCATTAACATAGATATGAAACAGACTTGGTTGTAAGCATTTTATTAAAACGTGAAGAAGAAAAAAAACAGTAACGCCATAACAGGTTCTATAATATGCAAAACAATAATATGTATATACATGTGGCTATAATGAAAGATTTTAGATAATATACACCACCACCACTGCCAGACTGCCTGATGTCAGGAACCACGTAAGAACGATGGAACCACTGAATCCGTTTTCCGAATCGGTTCATTGAACCGATTCGCGGAAATGAGTCTTCTCATCACTAGTGTCTGCCAAACGCGTGGTCAGCTGGCATTGGCCAGAAAGGACCTTCCACATCATTCCGCTAATGATCTGATTGGCTGACCGGTGTGACGCTATCGTCTCCAGCTGCCGTCCAATCAGAGCCAGCCATCTGTTCCCAGTTTAGAGGCGAGACTGAGCGAAAGAGAGCAGCGCACAGTGATTTCTGCAGGCATGTGAAGATCCAAACAGAGCTCATTCTATACATATTCAAGCCTCATATTTCTTATTAAATCGTTTCCTTTTTATTTTACTGTTCTGTCTCCTTAAAAAGAGTATATATATTTTACTGCAAAGATGACAGCGTTATCTCTACTGGTTATGGCCGTGTCCATCGCTTTAATAACTGCAGAATCATCTGTTTATTTCCGAGAGCAATTTGAAGACGGTGGTAAGTTTGAAGCAATTGTGTTTTTATGCTTTTTGAATACTATTTATGCGGCTTTATCTGTGGCATTCGAGCATGTGATGGAGTCACCATAGACCTGATTTTCTATGTGATGGAGTCACTATATGCCATTTTAATGGCTTGGCAACAATGGTGTGTTGCATTAATTTAATAATAATAATAGTAGTAGTAGTAGTAATAATCATTTTAAATCTTAGTCTTGGTTTAGATAGTGGTTATCTTATAACAAATAGTCAAGGCAGAACGGATGAATAATGATCAGTGGAGCAAACGTCCTTGATTTAATCTGATCTTACTCATAATTATGCATATATGCATGCTAATAATAAAGCTTTTAATTTTATATTCATGTCACACATGCACATTTCAGACACCTGGAGGAGTCGATGGGTGGAATCCAAGCATAAATCAGACTACGGGAAGTTTGTCCTCTCTGCAGGCAAATTTTATGGCGATGCCAAGAAAGATCAGGGTGAGTGTTGCTTTATTTATTACAGGCACCAGATAATTGACACCGGTTTGTTTGAATTTGTGGCTTCCTCCGTTTTGCATTATTGTATGCTCTGAATAATACGCCAGGGGAGGGGCTACTGTCTGTGACGTAATTCCCTCTGCTCAACTGAGCTGCAGGCATGTAACACCATCTGATATTTACTATTTTGTTTCAAAACATTACAAAACCACGTGTACTGTAGGGCCCAGTTACCCTGGCACAGACTAAATTTAGTGCCATTTTTGTCCAACTATGTGCTTCGCTGAGGTTAAGAAATAGAGTATGCTTTAAAGACTGTGTGAAATCAAAATTATAAACATATGTAATTAAAATATATATTTGAGGCTGTATTTATCTCATTTTTCACATCATCACAGCAGATTTTTTTCACATTCAAATGGGCAGTCTTTCAACAAAAAAAAGGACCAAAAATGTTGATTTGATATTTCAAAAATATTTCTTGTTTAAGCATTAAATCAATGTAACGTATAGAATTTTAAACTTGTACTTTTTTTTATGAGAGCAGTAACAGTAAAGAGACTATTTATAATGGAAAAATGTGACATGATTGAATGGGTTTATATGACTGAACGTGTTCTGCCTACCTTGTATCTTTTAACATTCATATTTGTATGATAAATAACAAAATATTTAAATAATGTAGATAATGGATTAAAATTATTTTATTTTTTAATTTAAATTATTCTGTTTTTAATAAATATAGTAATATAATATAATAAATCATTTTTTGATTATTACATTCGATTAATCCAAGAAATAATCTGCAGATTAATCCATTTTTAAAATAATCGTTACCTGCAGCCCTAATTTTGGAACTGTTTTGGGATTTTCTGTCCAATTAATAAAAGAAACAGTCAAACGATTAATCAATTATTAAAACAATCAATCAACAGTTAAAGCCCTACTCATTAGATAATTTCTATGGGGATTTTAATAACTGAAAAGTTATTAAAAGTTACTCCGATATCTCACTGTGAACTTGCAGGTCTTCAGACCAGTCAGGATGCTCATTTCTACGCGCTGTCATCCCGCTTTGCTGATTTCAGCAACAAGGATCAGCCCCTCGTGATCCAGTTCACTGTAAAACACGAGCAGAGCATTGACTGCGGTGGAGGCTACATCAAACTTTTCCCATCAGACCTCAAACAGGAAGATATGCATGGAGACTCCACATATAATATCATGTTTGGTGATTATCTTAATAACCACTTCATTGATGAACATTTTAAACATTTTGTGCTTTTGGACACACAAGATGATTTAACTTGTTTTGTCTCTTCCAGGTCCTGACATCTGTGGCCCTGGAACCAAGAAAGTGCATGTAATCTTCAATTACAAAGGCAAAAATCATTTGATCAACAAAGACATTAGAGCCAAGGTAATCCTATTGTTCATGTATTTCTTTTTTGTCCCATGATGCTCCATGACACCAGTCCTCCAAGCTCATATACCATGTATTTTATCATCCAGGATGATGAATACACCCACCTGTACACGTTAATTGTCAATCTTGACAACACTTATGAAGTCAAGCTTGATAATAAGAAGGTAGAGTCTGGATCTTTGGAAGAAGACTGGGACTTCCTGCCTCCCAAAAAGATCAAAGATCCCGAAGCGAAAAAGCCTGAGGACTGGGACGAGAGGGAGAAGATCGATGACCCTGATGACAAGAAACCAGAGGTAAGGACAGTGTCCTTGTTGTTTGTCCAGAAACCAATTCTGGATTCTTTCTCTTGTTTGTCACAAAACAGATTAACTCTAAGCCACTATTTGGGGTAAATATGCACAGATCACCAAGTAAATTAGTGCATGCCCTGGATTTCCTGTATCTTAACAACAGCCGTTCCAATATAAAGTATAAAATTATATATTCCTTGCTAATATCATCTTTGTCTGTATGCTTCTGTAGGACTGGGACAAACCCGAGAGCATCCCTGATCCTGATGCCAAGAAGCCTGATGACTGGGACGATGAGATGGATGGGGAGTGGGAGCCGCCCATGGTCACCAATCCAGAATACAAGGTACTATTGTTTCTTCAGTTGTGGTTTCTGTAATGGAAGTAGCGACAGATATTTTCTTCCGTATTGTGATGTGCATCGGAGTAAAACGGATTATAGAAAAGAATAAGATGTATGGCAGGGTCTTG